CATTACGTAGCTTTATCTAGCTAGGGTTACTATAAACCCTAGTCTATTTAGACGTATCTAATAGTCCTAGAGGAAGTCCTAGAGGTAGTCCTAGGGGTAGTCTAGGATAGCTACCTAGGGTTAAGAACGTAGCTATTACTACTTATAGTGTATTTTACTAGCGATCGTAGAACCCTATATTTAACTAACCGCGACGAATAACTACTTAAGTCTAGAGGCGTACTAAGGAACCTACTAAGTCTTACTACGCCGACTTTAACCGCGAGTCTAACTAAGATCTATAACGCTCTAGTTCTACCTTTTCTAACTAACGCTAGTAGAGCCTTTAAGGACTAAGGATTAAGGGGTAGAGAGGAGTAGATTTTAGATTAGTAAGAGGCGATTTAAGTAGCCTATAAATCGATTAGTTTCGTAGCTCTATAACTTAACTTATAGAGGTTTTTTTTTAGGAAGACGAATAATATTACTAGATAAATAGATTAAGACCGTTTAATAAAGGTTTTATAAGGTTTTAATAGAGTTATAATAAAGTTATTAATAAAGGTATTAACGAAATTAAGATAATAATAGCGAAGATAGGATAGAAAGTAAAATTAGGAGCGGAATAACTATAATCCGTTAGTTACGTATTTTATATTTTTAGTAGTTAATTAATAAGCTCCGATAAGACAGACTAATTAAATTACGCCCTTTTAGTTAGTTTTACCGGTAATACTAGCTTAGCTACGCTTCGCTAGATTAAGAAATCTTAATTAAATTTTCTATTTTAATATTCCTAAAATTTAGATTTTATAATTAATTATTCTATATATTATATAAGTAAATTCTAGATCTTTAATTAATTAAAAGTTATAACTCTAGTAAAATATCTTTAATATTATTATATATTATTTCTTTTATTAATTATATTTTATATTTTATATATTATTATTAACTTTCTTTAGAAAATTAATAAGCTCTAATATAAGATTATTTTATTTATTTATATTCTCCTTATTAAGGTACTAAATCTTTTCTTAGTATATTAATATAAGTAATATTCTATAATTAATTAATTTAAATACTTCTTATATTAACTATAATAAAGGCTTAAAAGTTATTCTTTAAGTCTTTTAAAGTAGAATAATTTAATCTTAAGTTAACTTCTTATAATATATTATACGAAAATTAGTTAAGGTTTAGATATACGTATAATAACGTATAGAGGCCTATCTAGTAGGTCGGTAGTCGTAAGAGATTCCTTTATTAGGATTTAGCCGCTAGCGCGTTTAATCTTTAGAGTTAATATCTAGGTTATATCGTAGGGTATTATAGATAGTAGAAAGAGATTAGATAATAATAGCGATAGTAGTAAGAAGAATACGGTATAATAAAGACTGAGATATTATTAACGCCTTATAGAATAATAACCTTTTCTATTTCTTCTAGAGTTCTCTTAGTAATACTTAATAGAAAACCTATATTATATCTTCTATATAGTTACGTAACTATCCTATCCTTCTTTTAATCTACTTAGCTTATTATATCCCTCTCTTACCTACTTATAGGATACCCTTATCTAATTAAAGTATTTATATAGATATCTCCTCTAATAATAGATAGTTCTAGAGCCTCTTATTAAAGATAGCGATAATATACTAGCCTTTCTATAGTTAATACCTTACTTACTCCTTAATAGCTTCTCTAGTTAATTATACTTATATTTCCTACTACGTTAAACTATATTCTATTCTATTTTAATTATATAGTTATATAACGATATAACTTAATTAAACTATATCGTAATCTCTCTCTCCGTCGCGATATACCTTATTAATACTTATTCTTCCTTCTATACTACCTTCTATAGATATTATAATAAGAAATATATTTAAGAAATAATTAGTATCCTCTTTAATAAGCGAGAACGTTAAGTTCTACTCTTCTATCGGGTAGTTTCTATTATAACTTTATAGATATTAAATCTACTTATAATATTAAATACTAAACTTAAGTAATTTTAATTAATATAGATAGTTAAATAATAGAAGATATAAGAGTAATTAGAGGAAGACCTCGCCTCCCTCCCTATCTTATATTAGTAAAGTACTTCTTACTTTTTAACTAATTTACTTATTATATTTAACTAATTCTACTTCTATCGCTAAGACGGAGTAGGAATTTCTATAATAATTCCGTCGTTAGGAAGACTAGGAGATACTATATATCGCTTAAGTCTCTTTATATCTCTCTTATAAGTATTCCGATCTCTAGTAATTATAGTCTCTAATTCCTCTTCCTCTTCTATTAACTTAACTTCGTCTTAATCGTCGTATTTCTCTAAACTCTCTTCGTAGTCCTCTACCTCTTAAGGGTAAAACCTTTTTAATTAGTTTCTAGTAAAGATACTCCGTAGTTAAGTATCGTTAAGCTTAAAGAGAGTATAATTCTTAAGTATAGGATTCGCCTATAGTACGCGATATAGATCTATCTATTAAAAGGAAAGCTTCTTTAAACTTAATATATCTATAGCGTTAAAGGTATTATATATTAATATAAGTATATTAAGTTCTAATAGATCCTTATAGAGTTAGTATATCTTATCGAAATATTCCTTATCCTTATCTCTTATCTACCTTAAGTAAGCTTACGCTTCTTCTAAATCTTCTACTCTTCGTTTAATCGCTTAAGCTCTTATTATTACTAATTAATTAATAATATATACTTATTCCTACGTGTTCGGAGGACTCGGAGGATTACCTAGATAGGTAATAGATAGGCTCATTATAGGATTAAACCGATAGGTATTAACTATTCGACTATAGAAGACTTAGTGAAACTTAACTATCTAAGAGAGGGGAGAGGAGTATCCTTATATAGGTAATGAGTAGCGATAGTTAGAAGGTAAAAGAAAACCATCGAATCGCTATTAGTAAGCGATAATGTGAGTAGCTACGCTACCTAGTTATCTTACCTAGCTAAGCCACCTAGCTACGTAATCAGGTTACGTACTAAGCCTAGTTAGGTAAGAGGCCTAGATAGCGATATTCTACATATATAAATATATATAAATATATATAAATTTTAAGAAAATTATAAAGTTTTTATTAGTTTTTTTTAATTTAATTAATATTAAATTTAATCTATATTTACTTCTTAATAATAATAATTATTATAATTATAAATATACTTAACTATCTTAATTTTATTTTTATTTATTTATAAGTTTTAACTTATAATAGTAATATTTATTCTTTTAAAATTTATAAATACTATATCTAAATTTTATAAGTATTTTATAATAAAGTACTATATTTAAGAATTATTTTATCTTATTAATAGACTATCTTAAGTCTTCTTAATTTAGTATTTACTTAAAAATTTATTTTTATAGAATATAATGTATAAAATATATAAATTAAGTTATTAAATTTATTATTTTTTAAGATAAAATTAAATATTAATTATTATTAAGTTATAACTTACCTTTATAAACTTAATTAAATTATAATTAATATGGAATATCGCTATCTAGGCCTCTTACCTAATTAGGCTTAGCGCTAGGATACGTGACTTGATTACGTAGCTAGGTGGCTTAGCTAGGTAAGATAACTAGGTAGTCTAGTCACTCACATCATCGCTTACTAATAGTGATTTAATGAGTTTCTTTTATCTTCTAACTATCGCTACTCGTTATCTATATAAGGACACTCCTCTCCCCTCTCTTAGATAGTTAAGTTTCACTAAGTCTTCTATAGTTGAATAGTTAATACCTATCGGTTCGATCCTATCATGAGCCTATCTATTACCTATCTAGGTAATCCTCTGAGTCCTCAGAACAGCTACCATCTATTAGTTAGCTAGTAATCTATATTCTATCATCTACTAGTAGCCTCTCTAGGAGCCTTAACACGGACCCTCTACATCCTAGGCTACTTCAATAGGTTCCCCCTGGAGTTTTCATACACCAGTAGTAGAGTATTACGAACAGGCCTTTTAAGGGCCTATACTATGTAGGTAAGGGGAAAGTCACCTAAGGGCGCGAGGCTAAGAAGGGACATCTTACTCTAGGATACTCTATCACGTATAATAAGAGTATAGTAGAGTACTATAACGCGCTCTAAGATACTCTAACTAAGAACTATAGAGTATAATAAAGCACTACGAATCTCCTTAACTATATAATTATTAAACTCTTTATAGCTTTCCCTCGTAGTTAACTTCGTTTATAAATAATCGAGTTCCTCTTAGTTATTCGCTTTACTTATAGTTCCATATACTATACTCTTAGTTTCGTCTTAGGTTCTTCGTTCTACTACTATATCACTAAGTAAACTACTCGGGTTTACTACGGACACCTCACGTGTAAAGCGGCTCGTAATATAGAGCCCTCCCGTAACATCAATTTAAAGCCATAGATGACGTGCTCGGCACGCACGGGAACCGCTTCCCTACGCTACGGCGGAGACGCTCATCGTAATGAGATGTATGATGACACCTAGGATTATCTCGACAATCTTAGTCAGTGTTACTAACTCCGGGACCATCGTAGAGGATATGACGTCGCCTAGTGTTTAATGCCCCCTTCTGACATTCTCCTACTTCTATTTCGATCCCACCGTTCACACGCCCACGCCGTGGTTTCTCCTCTTTTATTCTCTCATCTCTACACAACTTCGTATATAAACCATCCAGCTCTGTCTCTTCAACTCTTTCCATTCTCTCGACCTTTTCGCCGCCTCTTTCTGTTCCTCTCTCCTTCTCCTCCTCCCTCGTCTCCGTCTTCGCATTCTACCAGCCAGGTGACCAACTCCGCGACACTGTCGATCGCCCATACCCACCCACTACGCACCACTTGAGAGCACTACACTAAGGGGATTTTAGCCGGGCACTGCCATTGACGATCAGCACTGATCTTCGATCACACCGGAAAAATAGACATAGAGAGAGGAGGGGGGATAGAATGGTAAGTATAGCCAAAATTTAGTGAAGGTGATAGAGCAGCAATGTCAAACGAGACGTTAATCTCTCTCATACTTGACTACATCACGAGGTTGGTTGGACGGATGTGTTGAATCCTGTTCTTCTCCTCCGCGTTTCCCGTCCGTAGCCAGCGTCGCTTGAGAGCCCGTCTCGTCTCGGTTCGCTACGTTGAAGTTCTCGACGTCGATCCTGGTTTTCGCGAGTGCAACAGCACGAGTGATGGATTTGCGCAGGAGGACGCGGACGCAAGCGGAGACGGAGGAATTGGTCGCCATTGCTCGACGGATTCGAGAGGCTTGCTTGAAGGCCAGTACGCTGGTGGGGTTTCCAAAGGTAAGTCGAGTCGCTCGCGACATCCATCCATCCATACCCGCGCCTATCACAGTCTCGTTTCATCGGCATCGCTCATCCCAGATTGGTTGTCGAGGGTGTAGGTAAGGGGTGAAGTTGAGGCTTATGCTCGCTTTCAGCAAGCCACTATCAACTGACATACATCTGAGACTTGGAGACTCGAAATAACGAGATAGCGAGCAACGGTCACCCAAGAAAAGGGTGGTCCTGGCATGAAAAGCAGAACTGACTATTCCAAATCTGACTAGGAGCGACGCCCGCTGCTGAGTAGGACACCTTTTCAGACAACTTTGACTGGCTGGTGGAACGGCTACGGGAGGACCCTCTTCAACGGCATCCTCGGGATCTACCTCCTCGGACAGTATGACTGCAAGCTTCCTGACGACCGAGGTAGCATGACTTGTACATCGACTCGAGTACCAAGGGAGCAAGAAGAGTGGAAGAATGGTCGCTAAGAGCGAGTACTTTATATAGAAATATGTCATCAGATGCAAGTGGATACCCTTTTCTTTCTACGACTAATGAGGTTAGCGCGGGACCTTATTACTTCAGCCTCGTGATCTCAGCCTTATGATCTCAGCCTTGTCAGCTCAGCCCTCGCAGTCTCATTTACCGATTGATATTTAGAAATACAGCTAACCTTCGCACAGCTCTCACGGATTGGTAAATATACCTGTCTCTTTTCATGTATTAGTCTATCGTCTTACCCTTTTATGGCATCTCTTTCTTCCTACCGGCAATCACCAAGGAGCTTGGATACACGTCGGCGACAGCACAGCTTTTGACGGGAAAGATTACAATCCTTGTTCGGAAGCTTCCCCGACTGCTCTTCCAATATGTTCACGACCATCGCGAATCGGGTTGACTTCCGACTGCATAAAGCGTTGAACCCCCAATGTTAGGGAGGGACATAATGGCATCTCTGCCTTGATTGACACTTCGATAAATGTCTCTTTCGGCCTGAGTCACTTTTTCTGGGACACAATTACTGCGAACGTTCCTATTCCACCACAACGGACCTAAGTTAAGTGCACCAAGGGGCCCCGAGCTCCTGAACAAGTACTTCGCGAGCCGAGTCGGCGCGGGCCGTGCGCCAGGTCTTCACACGCGCGCGCTCGAGCGTCCCCGTCATCGTCTTCTTTGATGAACTTGACGCCCCTGCTCCTATCCAGGGCTCATTTGATATCTCGCGAGCAACGGTGAGCGCGGTATGGGTTAGGTAAATATGTTGCAGCATGGAAACGGACGGAGGCGATTTCGACGAGACTTCAGGCTCTCGCACCTGCCCCTGCTATCAACCAGGCGAAGAATCATGGGAAAACTCAGGCGGCTCACCGTTCTGTCTCTCAGATCAACCCAGCTTAATTCCTCCGACCACTACGACTGAATATCAGCATAGCTGACCTCCTCTCCACATGCTGCACGGCAAGTCTCGTCTCCTGTAGCAATGGGGGAGGTTGACAGTGTCGCATTGGCCAGGCGATAATGAGCGGCAGTGGCTTTTCTCCAGACTGGAAGGCTTCATTACCAAGCCATTCCCCTGTTTTGCGACGGCGTTCAAGGATGATCTGATCTTGTACAGCAATGGTGAACCGGTCCCTCGTGACTCGAAAGTAGATTTGCATACAGCGACATCCACTCTTTCAGATGAGACGGGAATCTATCCGATTGAGGTGGAGGTTGTAGACTTGATTGAGGGACCGTAGGCGGCTGTGAAAGCCGTCCCTGTTCTTGTAGGTACTGCTGGTGCGCCTGTTGCATCTGCTTACGGGATTGTGGAAGTGGTGGTGGTGCTTGTGCCTGCTGCCTCGAGACCTTCGAAAGATCGACTCCTCTGTCCTTCCCCTTATCCTCGTCAGTCCTCACTTACAATACACACCGCAATTGTGTACTTGTGCGAGCCGGGTCTCTAATTCATCACGCGGCGTGGCGCATGAGCAGAGTTAGAGACGCACCCCCATGGGAGTCATTTGACCTGCGCGCAACGCGGTATATTATCAGCGTAGGTTCTCTCGCAGGGTGAAAATGGTCTCGGTTTGTCCTATCTTGTCTCGTCTCGAGGTGGAAGAAACACGACAGAGGATGGAAGAGGATGACTAGGGAGAGCTGGACGCCGGGGGTTTAGTCAGTGTCTCCCTGGACAGATGGATGATTGTGTTTGGTTTGGATTGATTAGGTGTTGCTCGGTTCACTTGGATGGATGGATAAACGGATAGCAGTGTGACGGTCATCTGCGACTCTTCTACATGTCCTTTTCAGCATCCGCGAGCATTCCGAGTCTTGGTGGTCACCGCAGTTCAGGTATTCTTGTTCTCGTTGTCGTTCTTGTTGTCGTTCTTGTTGTCGTTCTTGTTGTCGTTCTTGTTGTCGTTCTTGTTGTTCTTGTTGTACTTGTTGTTCTTGTTGTTCTTGTTGTTGCTGCTTTTCAATCTCCTCCGCGGGCTGCTGGAGTTGCATCGACGGCGCCGAGATCTCCATACCCAGGATAATTGACATAGGACATGGAGTATACCCATGGACGTGAGGATCGAGGACAAAAGGCTTTGTTCATGTGGAATGTGTGGTCGCTTACGGCGGCAGCAGCTGGATTGGAGCATTTCCAGAATGTGCTCTCACCACAGATGGTTTTGTGTCATCAACCAGATCGAAGAGAGCTTCATGCCTTGTTGTGCCTGTCCCAAGTCGAGGAATTAGTCCTTGCGTTCGTCTCTTTACTTCTCAACTCTCACCAGACTCTTTGACCGCGGCTGTGGAAAGACCTCAGCCGAAGCAATGAGAGGCTTATGGACTCAAGCTTCTCGACCCAGATTAAGGAGCTCTCGCTACCACTGTTCCGCAAACTCCATCTCCTCGACGCTTGTTCGAAAGACCACGACCGGACCTCCACGACTCGCCATGCCGGCAAGCATGTTCGAGACGTTGATGCACATATCCAACTTATGGAGGTTGGTCTTGCGCGTGCTTGCGTCGCCACTACTAGCATCGCAGAAGAAGGTTAAGGCGGCCAGGAAGATGTTGATCAGAGCACATTCGATTTAGTCGTCCAGAAAAGAGACGAAACGGTGCCCCCCAATTCAGTCCCAACCGTATTCCATTAACGCGTCGTCGTGTCGTACATGCAAACAACGGGCTAAGTAAGATAGCTCTTGTGATGTTTCGAATGGATTGGAACTCATTCATCTTCCTCTGCCTCTGCCGTCGTCGTCCACCGCGATATCGACCATTCGGCTATGCACCATGCCCTCGTTGATCTCGTCGACCACTCGGAAGGGAGCTCGACTTGGAGTCTGCAGAGCTATGAGGCCGATGATGGTACTGACTGCTCTTATACTACCCGACTGCCGGTGGCTGTCTGGGGGGCTCAATGGCTCTTGCTCCTAGAACTTGACGCTGATGTGGATGGCCTGGTTAGTAAAGTCCAACTCGTTCTCTATTCCGCTCTTCTCCTCGTTGTAATCAGGGGGATTTTCATGGGATGCCTCGTGCACCGTAACCTGCCTAGTACATCCGATGCGTATAACGGAATCGGAAAAGTGCGTAGAGTCTCGTCATCGCTTAAGGTTAAGCCCTCGGTCGTGGCGGGTAGGAATGGTTTGAGAAGTTCTAGTTTTATCAACTCCTGGATGTCTACGAGGGGCTTGAACCCGATAAAAGCCTCGAATCTGGACGGAGGGACGGCTATCTCGGGCTTGTGGTTGGGATCTGGGAACTGGTCCGGGTTGTCCTTGTGCACCTTCTCCGACAGTTTCTTATTCGGGTGAATCTGCAGACACGTGTCTGGTCGTGTTTATGTATGTACTCACGTACGTCGTACTCCAACAAATACGTACGAAAAGGCTGAGATGACCACAAATGTATCTCGTAGTAGAGGACGATGCCATCTCGTCAGTCTCTTCCATGCACCAGACTCACCGTACTTTGCCTTTCTTTTGTTGACGCGAGCCTGTGGAGTTGGAATCCATCTCAGCAACTGCCGACACGGTCATCATTCTCGATCCAGAATTCAACCCGCACCAGGACATGAAAGCACTTTCCCGCGCTCACCGCATCGGTCAGAAGAGCACTCACCGTTGGTGCTCGGGTGCGCGTTCGGCGGCGACACGGTGCGGCAGTCAATGTCCGACGACGAGGTGTTGCTTTGGCCGAGATCTTGCCGCATTGCCCATCGATGGGCCCATCTCACTATTCTGGACAATACGCCTCGCTCATTTACGCCATGAATTCGAGAGATGCCGCTGCTATGCCTCCGGAGACGGCACACTCGCGGTGCAGCAGGACCTGGAGCGTCCTTTGTACGAGACTCGCGTTGGCCTCGGCCGCCACCACGGGGTCTACGTGGTTCACTCGGTGCAAGGCTTGAGCAAGGGTCGAAGTCGTTCCTGGGATTCATTCACTCGATGGGTGAAGTGAGCGGGCTCGAGTTGAGGGAGCAGGGGACTGGTCGTTCAGCCTGCTTCGAAGACTATATGGCTGTGAGGGAAAGCACAACTCATTTCATCGATCGCGCATGGCACGTGATGGTGAACAGTAAGGAACATCCAGCCGAGACCTAAATTTCCGTGATTCGAGTTTTTCTTGAAAAGGAGTCAGCCATTCACTATCGCCGCTATGAGTTCCTCGCCTCTAAGGTAGTAGACTGCACGCGAGGTTTTTGGTGGCAGAGGGAAAGCAGCAGCGACGGAGCCCCGTTTTTCGTTGAAGCATCATGACATTGGTGGTATAACTCAAAGAGAAGAAGATCTCAGCGAAGAAGAAGCATGATTTGGGACCAAATCCATGGCCGCAACCACCTCGAAAGAGGAAGCTGTGCCGCACCAATCAGAAGGCCGCAATTTATCTGTGCATTGGATAGATAAATACTAACTAATCAAAAAAAGGTCCCGGCCTTGGCGGACCCCACCACGGCGTAAACGCTCAGCACTGAGCACCACTGAGCACCACTGAGCACCGCTAACCACTTACGGTTATATAAGGAGAAGACACTCCCTATGGGTATCTTCGTAGTTAACTTCGTTCACAAATAATCGAGTCCCTCTTAGTTATACGCTTTTCGCACAGTTCCGCACAATATACACTTGGTTTCGTCTCTGCCACACCGTTCCACTACTATATCACCCAGTAAACCACCTCGGGTTTGCTCGCGACACCTCACGTGTAAAGCGACTCGTGATATCACGGTCGCAGATCTAGTTGATGCGAACAGCCTCGACAGGCAATGAATTGATTGAATCTGCGACCGTGATATCTTACAGTACCGTCCAGGGAGGTAACGTGTCGACAAGTTCAACATTACTACCCAACACATGCAACCGTGGAATGGAAAATGAAAACACCTGTGTCGGAGGACCTGACACGTGTTTTGGGAGGGGTGATGTCACGGACCTGATCCTTTGGCAATAGTTTAGTGCCAACTGGAACCTGATCTCTTGGCACGTTGATCACGTGCCACTTGAGATATTGTTCACACAACAGAACCTCAACCTTTTCAGATCGTCCTTTGTACTGCAATTCATCAATTCATTGCCTATTGAGGCTGTTCGCATCGATTAGATCTGCGACCGTGATACCGAGGTTGGTCACGTATCCCCAACAAGGCGATCGATGCCGAGCATCGCGCTGACAACGGGGTGTTGATGACTTTGGCCTCTCCCCAATCACACTCTTTTGGCCCCCGGCTTGTCAGCGGAGACGTGGTGCGACAACAATCATCCTTCGCCTCCACTGTGAGAGTGAAGAAAGAGTAGCAACAACAACAGTCCTGCTAGTCAGCCGAGGCCCGACGAGTGGAGAAAGGTCAATAAAAACGTCGTTGTCGTTGTCGGCGATGCGGCACAAACGTGGCGAGTGTCCAAGTATGTGGAGCATTTGAGCTGTGTGAGCTGGCCGTTCAGAGCGAAATGTGGTTTGAATTAAGCTGCACTTCCATCCTTTGCATCCAATCTTTCCGTTCGGGCTCAATCCAGATTTGACGACGGCGATTCTAAGACCACGGCGTCCCTTACCGCGACTGCAGAAAATGAATCCTCCCCGTTTTGTCTTCCTTGGATCATTCTTTCAATCACGAAACCATGATATCCAATCCAAGCCGCAAGTCCAGACATTGCCAGTTGCAAATCCGACCTCCCTGTATCTATTGCGAAGCGAGAACAGAGCACAAAAAAGCCGTACGCGTATTCGAGGAACGGTAAATGTTTAGTCGACAAGACGGAGCTGACCAACAAGATCTGTCCTGTCCCACTTGGTCGTCATCTGCAATCACCCATGTCCTGGTCGTTATCTTCGTCGCTGTCCCAGCTTCGATCCATACCAGCCGAGTTCCATTATTGGCAATTTCCCGGACCAACATCAAAAGCAATGAGCAAGCATATGACAGCGCCCTAGAGGATGCAGCTTCCAGGGAGTTGCGCTTCCGTCTCCTCGCCCTCGCCTTGCCGCTCATGGGTGTGGGACGTGGTTCGGTCCCACCCAGTAACATCCAGGTCTAATGCCCTTCCCATCCCAGTTCCCACCAAGGCCCCCCTTCCACGATCATCTGGATCTCGCGAGAGGAGATACGCGAGCAACGGCTTCAATTCCTGCGCGGCAATGAATCTTCCATAGGCTCACAACAAGCCATCCGGTAGGCGAGTCTAAAGTGGCTCAGGCATTGTCGCTCACCTTCGGAGCCTTCGGGTCTATCTTTGTGAGAGACTCTTGCGCCCAACTGGTGCCTCCTGATGTCGATCAAACTGGACTTTTACGAGCATGACAATAGCCCTCTCCATGGCCTTGAGCTGCGCCTTGCCAGCCCTCCAACCACCGTTCCGGTCGAAAGACGTCGGCGTCGTCCCCAAACACCTTGCGGTCGCGGTGGACGCCCTATGGACTAACCGAAGCTGGGTTCGACAAGCCCCGTGGTCACGCCGGGGGTCCACTCTGATTGAAGCTGGCAAGTTTGTTGGGGGGTGTGCCCGGGCCAGGGCTTGCTCTGACACCGCCGAGCCCCAATCCTGATCCTGCACCGCCAACACTGCCGGGTTTCTTCACGGCCTTCTCCGACCTTCCATGACCGGTCTTTGCAGATGTTTAACAAGCCAATATCACACTAGTTGACACCCAGGGCCGCGGTGTGGATCGTATTACTCCAAAGGGGATAGTCGCTAATGGAAAAGAATACGAATGAGACTGGATCATCTATGCCACTGGCTTTGCGCTTGCTACGGATTGGTCTCACTGTTCGGTGCTCGGGACTACGGGCAGAAGCGGTCTGACCATCACGGAGAAGTGGCGTGATGGTGCGAAAACCCTCCCTGGCTGGACAACGCGAATGGGCACTTTGAGGACTGAGAGCCATACGGAGGACCCAAGTGAATCAAAATCCCAAAGCGTCATGGGGTTCGAGGAAGAGTCTAACCTGATGCGCCAGTATCTATATGGGACCTTCGTGCCCACGGTTTCCCAGCTTTTACACCATCGTCGGTGGAATCGACGAACATGTCGGCTCCGCGCCAGGTGCAGCAGCAGCACCCCTGCCACGCAGAACGTGTCGACCCTACTGTTCTTGCCAGAACTAGCCGAAGGTAGCGCTGGGTACGCGCCCTTGCTCTACCCTGACCTCACTTATGGTGACGAGCCATCCGATGACAACTTTCTCTTCTACGAGGGCAAGGTGCTGGACAACAACTCGACGCTGTTTCTCGGCCCGCTCGCCCTTCAAAGCCACACCTCGCTCATCTCATTCACAGTGCCCATCAACAACAACACCAGTCGCAAAAGAAGGATTCGTTGGTTTACATGGGATCTCTGACATCGGAGCTGTCAAATCGACGACAAAGGCAAAAGCCGCAAGCAAAGGCTCAGCAAACAAGGCAGAAAGGTCAAGTCTGCCAAAGCAAAACAAGACAAGGCCTTGGTTTCCCGTGCAAAGGAAACGAAGCCCCCCGTTGAAGAGGGTGCTTGCACACGTGGCTGATCCGACCATCTTGCTCAGTCTCTCCTATTGCTCACCTTCGACCCTCATGCTCGCCCACTCCTCCATCCTCGTGGCACCGACGCTCCCGCCCTGGTAGAACTCGATGCTCGGGGCATTCCACTTCAATCGACGGTTGGTGTGTATCGTTTCAAGACACAGAAAAATACCCTCGGATCTGTAAGCAGGAAGAGGAACAACATAATATTGGACATCTCTGGTCGTCACCACCACTACGCACCTTCCCTGCTGCATATCGCCAATCCCGTCTTTCACGCTAGCCACGCCCTCAATGCCGACCAAATGGCGACACTGTGGTGACGCCTCGTTTCCCACTCTGAGGCACCTGAGCTTCTCCAGCTGTTTGAAGGTGAATACAACGACTCGAGGGCGGCCTCATGTTACAATGCGCGACGACGGAAGCTTCTCAAGGGCAAGCTGAACGAGCTGAACGAGCGAGATGAATACTACAGGCTCAACAACAGCAGCACGACCGTGTACCCCACCGTGACGAGACGTGGCTGTGCGACCTGGGTCTTTTCGCCATCAACCAGTCGGGCAGCGCTCTGAAGGAGATTGATGGCGCGTCGAAGATCCCCGTCCGACACTTTCAGAGTCCTCTCAATGACGCCCTCTTCATTCCCAACCCACGTTGCTGCTGCTGCTGCTGCTGCGTCTCCAGTGCGGTCAGGGCCAGGTCTCTCGAACGAACCAATTCCTTTCTGCTCTGGCATTTACCGCCCTCCTACAAGCGACGTGGGAATTTCTATTGATCGGCTGTCGTGTTCGAACCCCCTACTCGGAGCTTGGGTCCAAGTGTCGTGCATGCCTTTTCCAGCCCGTTTAGCCCGATCTGGATTCTCAGAGGGATCCATTGCCATCATGAAATCGTCAATGTCCTTGATTTCCTGTTGTCCTCAACCAAGCCAACCAGTGGGTCTCCTTCGTTATCCAGAACCAGTTCTTGGCCTTCTCATACCCTGCACGTCCACGGTCACGATATCTTGGTTCCCGGGCACTGCTACTGGCACTTTCACCTCCGCGCAGCTGGGGACTTTACTCTTCCGAGAGACTGCTGGCAAATCGTCTCGTTCTATTACTTCACCACCGTGTTTTGCCGTCGCACCAAAATTAATCTCCGTCTCACGGTTCTGGAACAACATTCATGACTCCGGGTCTTTGGGTCTGTGTATGTTGGTGAAACAGCACGATATCTGCTCAACGCGCCATTTCACCCCGCTGGAGCGAGCACACAAGCTCCGATGTGTTGCCCTCCATCTTACATACTCATCTGAGGTCGTTCGCTCTACTACAGCACCCTTTTCCTTCTGATGGAGCTGTCTGAAAGCAATCAGACCGACTGCAAGTCGAACTATCGTCACGAATCTGCCAGCACACTGTGCTTTACGAGAGAGCTCGATGCTCTTCTCTGTGCACCACTACTTGCGATACGTCGTGTGGATCGTTGCCTCTGTCTTGGCACGTCAAATCCCGGCTGGCGTTCCGATACCCTTCTTACCACATTTCTGATAGCCAAAGGTTTCGAGGACGGGGAGGTGGGCTTCTTTATCTTCCGTACGTTGTTTGCTGGTCGAGGATTCGAGCCTTAAAGGGTTTGTACAAATCAAGTGGCCCATCCGCGACAGGGACACTGACAAGATGAAGGCCATTGGCAAAGTCATTCACCCAGATAGGATGAGGGCTTTGGATGGAGTCTCAGGATTCGAGACTACCTCTAGAACGAGACAGGACTCTATTCTCAATCAAGCCCTGGTTCCCCGAGAACAACCCGCGCTTGCAGTGTGAGAGTTGCATCCTGGAGTGATGACCAGCCATGTGTAATGACAGGTGCTAGCACCCCTTCACCCGAGGACCAGACCACCGTTGCGTCAGCCAGCTGCGCTAGTGTCTTCACCTCATGTGATCCACTTTCACGGGAGGAGAAGTCTCTATATTCCATGGCAGTCCGGAGCGGCCACAGCTGTGATTCTACGAGCCATCATACTACTCCTTACATCGATCTATCGCGTCTGTTGTACCGGCGAGCCTTGAGGGTAATGATGACAACATGACGAGGAAGAACGATGTGGAGAGGTCCATGGCCCAGGTGCGCCACTGCTGGTAGCTTCTTTCGGGGGGACGCTCCAGGGAAAATCCTACCAAGCTGGGCCAGACCCATGACTTCGGAGATGCGATTCCGCTCACACTCTATCCAGGTTTCCCGGGCCGCCGCTGGCGAAGTTGTATATGATCTGGCAAGTGGTGAAAGAAAGAGATACATACGCACGATACAAACTACATCAGAAGTATGGGAAGGTAGTGCGCACCGGCCCAAACGAACTCACCTTCTCCGATCTTGCCTCGATCAAAGACATCTATGGCCAGAGTACCCGACCTTGTCTGAAATCAGATTTCTTTTCTACCAGTGCTTAACACCTACCGGTACATCCTCAGTGTTCAGCGTCATTCGTTTCGATAGGCACGCTCGTACGTGTCGACAGATCCCATATGGTTTCTCCCAGCACGGAATCGCTCAACGACACGGCCAGATCTTGTACGACGTCGTCAGATACCTTGATGCCATTCAGTCGTGTATCCTTCCACGGAGATGAATGTCGCACACAGACAAACTTTTTGCGGTTGGTCCCCGGAATCGTGTAGGGATGCCTCTCGCTCGAGCACAACTTCTTCTGGCTGCTTTCAGCACTTTACCCAGCGATTTGATCTCAGGATCGATCCAAGGATGACAGACGGCATGATAGTTATGCGCGATGTTGGCGTCATGAGCCCCGTTGGGAAACAGCTGTGGGTCTCTGCGGTTCCCTGTCGATGATGGGTTCCCTTTGGAACCTTGGGATCATCAAACACGATTCGGCAATAACAAGCGCATGAGGCTGGAGCGATTATCGATGAAAAGACGTCAGCAAGCAAAGGCTCGCCTGCGGCCTGGCAGTGCTGAAAGCACCGCGGGGATACGAGCTGAGCACTGTTAGTATTCCATCGACCATTTCACGGCGAGTTCAGTAAAGATGTTTTCCTTTAGTGTGTCTACGGGTATTCAGCCTCGCGACCTTTTCTTCCAACAGGTGACGAAGAAGGTGGCTACAACACAATCGCCCATGCCTCGGCCACAAAAGAGAGAGTGGCCCACGGAGCTCTAGCATTTTCTCTAGGCGTTTGCAGTGCATTATCACGCCTTGCTGGTTGCCAGAGAGATATTTAAGCGTCATAAGCATCGTCAAGGCTTGGTAACTTACCACAAGAGCTATTGTTGATACCCGTTGCTTAGCTGGTAGAGACTGTTGGATAATATTCGACAGATTTCAAGAGCGGACGACTCTGACGAGGTTCACGGTTTCCACCGGAGATTACTCCGACTCAGCGACTTTCAGCAAGTAAAGGGGATTTTTGACTGACTGAAGCAACTGTTGAGACTCAGCCGTCTTTCATCCCGCCAACTAGGAACTCGTGGCACAGCCTGCACCTATGTTCTTCGCGACTATCACGCTGTACGCTTGAATTAATGAATTATAGTACGAAAGAGTCTAACTAGTGGTTATAGAGATAACGCGGTAGATAATGTTATATACTCAGCCTCGTATAGGGTAGGTAACCTCGTACGAGGTACCGTAACATTACCCCCCCGTAAAATCCGCTCTTCGTCCTCGAAGGCTTTATAATAACGTAACTTCGGTTACTAAGTTTTTAGTCCTATATCCTTTAACTACTTACTATTATTAAGTCGATCGATAACTTCTAAGTCTTAGTTATTATTACTATCGCTATCCTAGTACTTATAGTTAAAGGTTAAGCTTATATCTACTTAGTAGAGCCTTTATTACTCGTTAATCTCCCTTCTAAGTCTCTACATTAGCTTCCTAATTCTTATTAGTTAGGAGTTATACCTAACCGTAAGCTTTTTTATCTCGCTTTACTTTATCTCGCTTTACTTTATCTTAATCTTATATCTTCTACTAAAATCGTAATCCTTTAGTAGACTAGACTTCTAGGGATATTATTTATAAAAAGCCTTTACTAGCTTATCGTAATCTAGTAGTATTATATCCTAGAAGCGCTAGTTAGGAAGGCCCTCTCCTTTCTACTCTACCTTATATTAGAGGTCTCTATTTCGACCGTAAATCCGAGAGTCTACGGTATTCTATACTTTATATAACTCTTCTAGGTTTTCCTAACCTTCCCTCTATACTACGATAGATAGAGGTAGAATCTATTTCTACCTAGATAATATATCGGTCGCGGTAGGATATAATAAGAATATATAAAATATATTATAAACTTTTATCTTAACGAATAATTTAAGGCGGTAAATATAGGGATTAATTACCTCTAATATACGAAAAGATCTTAGATTCTTTAAGTTTAACTTCTTTAAGGATCTTTCTATTTAGATATTCTTTACGTTTAACTAAACTATATTACTAACTTTATACGCTAAAGAGGGTAACCTCTCTTACGCGGAATGTTTTTCATAATAAGCTTAAGTATAGACTATCTCTTCCCGGAGTTAGTTATATAACTCTACTATCTTTTCTATAAATATATCTACGGCGACTTTATTAACTAATACTTTAGTAATAAGTAGTAGAGAGTCTTAAACTAACTTAATACTAAACTTAAGTATAGTTCCGTAAAGAGTATAAAAAGACGAAACGTTAATAGTTTTCGAGATATAATTATTTACTATAAACTCTACTATTAGTAATTAATTAACTTAGTTATCTTAAAGATAATTATAATAAGCGCGAAGATATTATTCCATTATCTAGTTCGTATTTTTAGATTAATCGTCGGTCTTTAAGTAATATAACGTAGAAAGT